ACAGACGAACACACACACACACTGACAGGGTCGTTGCAATATGCGTTTTTGCTGCCTGTTGCAGCGATGTAGCGCTGCACGGCAAAAACGCATAATAACCCGAACGGTCTTGGTATTCGAAAGTGAGAGTAAACATTAGCCTGTAATCCAACCCTCTTTTCGCATACGGCGGGGCATGAAACATAGAATTTCCAGATGTCACACAATTCAGGTTTTTTTTTCCGTTGCCTTTCCTTTTTTACTCTAATTTATGGATTTTGTTTTTTTTTTTCTTCACTGTAGTGGGGTTTTACTTTGTCAGAAGTTAAATTCCCACATCTGCGAAAGCTGGAAGCATTCGGATCTGTACCAACAGCAAGCCCACTAGTTTTGTTCTTTTTGCCAGCTGCTTGAGAAAAAAAGCGAAGACGCTTCCAACTCCTTATTATCCAACTCTAGGATTGCTTTTTCCGTTCGTATCAAAAAATCACTTTAAACATTTTTTAGGGGAAATCTCATGTCGATGAGAGCTGTGCGCGACCACTACAAAGCCCATTAGAAATGGAATTTTCGGATAAGAACAGATCACTGATATTCATAGATGATGATCGGCCGAAAAAATTTGTGAGAAACGAGAAATGGGATGAATCGATTCTTGCTTGGGCAGATGAGAAGTTGCCACACGTCGATATTACGTTTCCGGCCTGCTGCACATTGGAGGGATATCTTTCGCAGCATACGAAAAATTTTAAAAAAGTTGCTGGGATGTTTCCGGAAATATACATATGCGATGGGACAGATGAGCATGCAGTGAGAAGCTGTGCTGGACAGATGGATGCTTATTTCTGTGTTCAGATGGTACCCACTGAAAATGGCAGTATAGCAAGGTAACAAAACCAATTCGCATTACTCTGTTTTTGAAGTAAATAATGCTTTTTAAAGACGGCGAAAGGCAAAATAGGAGAGGCACATTAAATTTTGCCTGCTTCCTACCACAGTAATTTATTCGTTCAAAGGCGAAAGTTCAAAACCCCTTCGTGCTCACTCTCTGTGACAAACGGGG